CTCTGGCGAGGTGCTCTGCCCTCCCTTCTACTGTACTTGAAGGAAAATACAAGAATACTCCTTTCTCAGAAAGGCTTTGTACCTGCCCATTAAGGGAGGTTGAGACTACAGAGCACATGTTTTTAGATGTCCGTATTATAAGGTGGTGCGCAGGGCTATTTTGGGGCAGGAACGCACAGGAACGGAGTTCCGGCTGGCTTCCAAGTTGGCCACGCCTAGCAGGAACTCATTAGCATAATAGGCCACACCCAACAGCAGAAACTCATTCGGATTGGCTACATATGGGGTGTGTGGCCTAACATGCAAAGGAGTTCCTGCTACAAAAAAGACCTGGGTTTTGACAACAAACAAGGTAAGCAGAATAAGAAGCAAAAGGTGGGTGTGGCTGGATGAGCACACTTCTGGTAACGTGGGGGTGTGGCCTAATAGGCCAATGAGCTGTGCTGTAATGGGTGTGGCCTAATATGCTAATGAGTTTCTGCTGTTGGGTGTGGCCTATTATGCTAATGAGTTCCTGCTGGGCTTTATCTACAAAAAGAGCCCTGGTGGTGCATAATAAAATCACTCTGCTGACTGAACAATTTCTGGGTCTTTCCGAAAAAGCTACACTCTAGTTTCTTCTATCTGACAGAAACCCCAAAATTACCCACCAAGTAGCCAGTTTTTGTATGGTGATACTCAGATCACGGAAACTCTAAGGTAGCTAGCTGATATAGTTGTTTGATATTAGATTAAATTTTAATTTGCTTTTAATGTTTCCCTCATGGATCCTAAAATCTTGGAACATTGTAAAAGTGTACTTCTTTTTGTATGAGTGATCTAAGGACTGTAGAAATAAACTGAATTGAAAATTTAGTTTTATTCCGCTAACTAATGTAATTTTCGCATTGCATCTCCTGAACATCATCATGTTACATCTTAATTTGCTGTTCATTCTCCGGCTACATGTTTGAACCTTACCTGTCATTCCAATGTATCTGAAAAAGAATGTATGCACACGAAAGCTCCTACCTTGAATAAACCTTTATTGGTCTTAAAGGTGCCACTGGACTCTACATTTGTTCTACGCAGGAGTGGTGGCACTCCTGGTGGGCACAGCGGTGGGATTCCCATCTGCAAACACAGTACCCAGTACCGTTGGGGAAAGGTCCGTGGGAAGGCCCAGGAACCGAGGGAATGACATATGGACAGGTGGGGATGGGGTGGGCTGGGAGGAAGGCACGAACAGGGGTCAGGGGTGGAGCTGGTGGCCCTGCGCACTGTCTGCCCAGGGGTTACCCCAAACCTGGAACCAACCCTGCAGAGGGAATCCCCTTTGCCAGCAGGGAGTTATTCAGAATAGCCTTCCTCAAGAGAAGCTGGAGGCCTCTTTCCATATTGTTTGGTGCTCTCTTTAAATTTGGACCAGAGGAAATGCTGCTTCATCAAAACCGCCACATAATAGAACCTCATTCTATTTTTTTTCCCAAAAACAATTTATTAGGACATATTATTAAATCAATACATCTTACACTTTTAGTTGTTATACAGTTGTACATCCTTTCTTCTATTATACCCCCCCCCGGCTTCCCACAGTGCTCCAACCTCCAGCCCGTTTCTTAAAATTTCCTTCCATTTCCCCTTATTTTATAATCTTTATCAGTAACGTTTCTTTCACCTTTTGTTCTCTTATAATTAACTTTCTTCTAATAACACACATTTTCAATAACTGTCAAAGCAAATTAAGTTATCCTTTACATCCCAATATTTCTCTAAGTAATCTTTGAAATCTTTCCAGTCTGCAATAGAACCTCATTCTAGACTTCTCGCTTTTCTCTCTATTGAACTGTGGGAGGTGCCAAAGTCAGAGTTCACCCAAGGCACTAAAAAAAAACCCCTGGGCTGACCCAGATGGGGAGAAAAAAACTCCAGGGTCCCCCCCCCCAAACACACACCATTTTCTTATTAGAAGGAATCACTCCTGGAGCTGCTTGTACCCCTGGCTGGAGAAAACATACAGAAACCAGTATTTTTCCCCCCTCCAGTGGGAGTGAAAGCAGTTCATTGGCTGCGTCTCCCGGCAGGGGAGACAAGGGTTAAACTTAAAGTCTCTCCCTTTCCATCTACGGTTCTCCTAGGTAAAGAAATGCCGGCGGCTGCATTTGCCAAAGGGGAAAAGGAACTCATTTAAACGAAACACAGGAGATAACAAAACACACGTTGGGCCTAACCTCGTGACACATTTGTCCTGGGTACATCATCCCTGAGCTGGGTTGGCCAAGGTGTTCCTGGGAGTCTGTGCCTCCCAAAAGTGCACGAGCCTGATATGGGTCAAGACCACAGGGTACAAGGATGGGGTCCTTAAACCTCCCCCACCCCTGGTGTGGTTCTCTTGACCTGAAATGTCCCCAGTGGGCACCATTAGCCACCTGTAGCGATAGGGTACACATGGCGCACACACCCCTCTCCCATTGCAGGAGAGAAACCGAGCCGGGGGGGGGGGGGGCTTAACCACCCTCTACCACATGCTGGGGTGGTCCCAAACTGAACCAGGTCCATGTTGGGTTGCCAGCTTCCAGGTGGCAGCTGGAGACCTGGGATTGCAACTGATCTCCAGGTGACAGATCAGTTCCCGTGGAGAAAATGGCTGCTTTGGAACCTGGGCTCTGTAGCAGTATACCTCTCCTTTCCACATACCCCAATATCTGGGTATTTCCCGATCCATAGCTGGCACCCCTAGGCCCATGCACACCTGGAAGGCGTGGTCTTCCAGAGCCCATATGCTGACCCAACCTTGGGGCATACCTGGGGGGGGAGTGCACCATGTGGTTAGGCTGACCTCTGAGCACACTGATAAGAACATAAGAACATAACATAAGAGACGCCAATGTTGGATCAGGCCAATGGCCCATCCAGTCCAACACTCTGTGTCACACAGTGGCCAAAAACACCAGGTGCCATCAGGAGGTCCACCAGTGGGGCCAGGACACTAGAAGCCCTCCCACTGTTGATCCCCCCCAAGCACCTGATGGGAAGACGTGATGCCCACAGACATGGACCTATGAGCCTGGCACGCAGCCCCCAACTCTCCTCCTTCCCCGGACCTCCCGCACAGCACCAAAGCAGTTACCTGTCTGGCGTCCTCCTCTTCCCGCTCTCATTCACCTCCAGCAGCAGTTCCGAGGAGTCGATGGGCGAGGAGGCGTTGGCATCCAGGAGCAGCTGCTCGTGCTGGGCCAGGTACTGAGCAGGCGTCTGCTTGGCCATGCGGGCACAGTGGAGGAGCTCGCGCTGCAGCAAGGGCAGATTGGCCTGGGGAGGGGAGCGAGAGGGAGAAGAGGAGATGCACCGACCTGCACGGCACATTTCCAAAGGAAGGTTTGGCCTTTCTATGTAGGGGTGCCAACCTCCGGGTGGGGCCTGGAGATCTCCCAAAAGAGATCAGTTCCCATGGAGAAAATGGCTGCTTTGGAGGGTGGGCTCGGTGGCATTGTGCCATGCTGAGGCCCCTCCCCAAACCCCACCATCTTCTGGATTCACCCCCAAAGTCTCCAGGAATTCCCCAACCAGGAGTTGGCCGCCCTGCTCACATGCATCCTTCCGCACCCTTGGCTCAGAGCACCAGTGCATAAAGTGCAGCAATGTAGTTGAAAGTTTCTGATGTGGTCTGGCGGATAATGCCCCGACACGTAACACCCTTCTCTGGCCCTGTGCTGGGAGCCCTTTTGAAGTCTCCTTTAACACCCCCCTGGAGCTGCGGTGGCTCAAGTGGTTAAGACGCTGAACTGCAGGCTGTGGAAGGTCGGTCGTTCAGCAGTTCGAGACCCAGGTGCCGCATGGCGGAGTGAGCTCCCGTCTCTAGTTCCAGCTCCTGCCAACCTAGCAGTTCGAAAGCAAGGAATTGCAAGTAGATAAATAGCGACCGCTTCGGTGGGAAGGTAACAGCATTCCGTGCGCCTTGGTGTTTAGTCATGCCGGCCACATGGCCACGGAAACATCTTCGGACAGCGCTGGCTCTTCGGCGTTGAAACGGAGATGAGCACCGCAACGCTAGAGTCGGATTCGACTGGCTTTCGAGCAAGGGAACCTTTACCTTTACCTTTTTGAACACCCTGACTGAACCAGAATGGGGTGCCCCAAAGAGAGGGTGAGTTTATCCACCCAGGCACTCCAGCCAGCCTCTGAAAACAGGAAAGAGGCGAGTTTCTCCTCGGACTGAGACTGACTCCATTCAGTGGGATGGTGCCTCCGGCCTGGGCAATTGCCTCTGCAGGTTTGGAGGGACTGCCGGCAGTTCAGAACTAGGAGAAGGAAGCACCGGCCCTTTCTCCTGCGAGGGCTCAGATCCCAGCTTGCCCTGATAAAACTTATTGGCCAAGCAGTCTCTCTGTGTCCCAGTCAGGGTTATCAACCTCCAGGTGGTGGCTGGAGATCTCCCACTATTACAACTGGTGGTCCGGGTGACAGAGGTCAGTTCCCCTGGAGAGAATGGTGGCGTGGGGGGGGGCCTCTAAGACCCCCCCCAAACCCGGCCTTCCCCAAGCTCCACCCCCAAAATCTCCAGGTATTCAGTCCCAGCCTGCAGTTGGTAGCCCTATTTCCTTTTGTGAGGATACAGCAGCGGGGGGTCAAACGTGTCTGCCACCCTGAGCTCCACAAAGGAACAGCGGGATTAAAAGCCACTCCCATTAAATAAGAAGATATAAACAGACAGACATTGATGATGATAGATAGATAGATGACAGATAGATAAGATGGATGGATGGATGAAAGACAGATAGATAAAAGATGATAGAGGATAGATAGATGATTGATAAGATGATAGACAAATAGATGATAGATGACAGATGATTGATAGATAGATGACAGACAGATAGACAGACAGACAGACAGATACGAGCCAACTGCAAGAAAGGACCATTGAATAACGGCTGCCATCGTTAAACAATATAATGATTATTAGCACTAGTTGGTTTTAAAACTGTTTTAATTGTACTTTATATGTTTTACTCTGTAAGCCACGCTAAGCTGGCCTCGGCTGGGAGGGCAGGGTATACATTTGAGAGAGAGAGAGAGAGATGTCATGCGGCCATCCAGCCTCTGAAACTGGATCAGACCTCAGGGGCAGACTGCCCTCATTTCTCCAGAAAAATAATGTCCTGTAACGGTGCCTAATTCTGTAGCAAAGGAATCCAGCGGCTCACCCCCCCTTGGCTCAGTAACAGCCCGGCCCGAACGCGCAAAGCTGTTCCCATCTCAAATGCTCCTGCCCATGCGACAGAGAGTGTTTGTAAATAAGCCGCCCCCCCCGGCCCCCACCCGACGAGTTTCTCATGAAGCCTCGACCCTGAGAAGAGCATCCGCAGAAGCAGAAACGATTAAGCCGCTGAACGGAGCCAGCCCCGGTTTCCTATTTAGGCAGCTGACAGCCGGCCAAATCCCCATCTGTTGAACATGTTAGAGCACGAGTTGATGAGATGTACCGCTGCGGATTCCAGGGCAGCAAACATCCCCTCCGCCCCCCCTCTCTCTCACCTCCCCCCACATCTCAAGGAAGAAAAATAATACAGAGAAATAAATAATGTCTCTGGGAAAGGCAGGCCGGGGCCGCCTGCTTGCAGTTAGTGTAATGAGAAGCATCTGGAGCCCTGGGTGGAAACAGCTGGACGCAGGGTGCCGGGGCACAGAACAGCCACGGAGAAGACGGGGAGGTTTGTCAAAGAGCTCCTTTCTGGTTGGAAGCCCTGCGTTTCTCTCACACTCAGCAGACTGGCAGGAAGGCGCCGGGTGGGCAGGCTGCCCCCAAACCTCTGCCAGGAAGCGCCAAAGCAGGGGGGGAGGGAAGGAACAGAGACCAGCCGCTTGCAGCGCCGGCCAGACTCGATACAGCTAAGAGTGCTATGGCTGGATTTCTCCAGCCATATGCAGAGTGCTTTTCTCTTCCCGAGGGAAAATCCAGCCCGGAAACTACTACCGGGAGTAGTGATTTGTTGTGTTTACTTAGTGGCAAGGGAAATGCACTCTGCACATACTCAGAGGCAACGCTCCCTCTAAGCTGCGGAGTCTTGTGAGCAAAAATGATACTTTGTGAGCTGCTGGCATTAAAGTTGTGAGCCAGCAATTTGGCTGCTGCATAAATTACTTTGCTCTGGAGCCGTCCTTCCTGAGCTAAGGCAAAAAATGCACATGCTGGAGGCTAAAAAAACGGTGAGCTGGCTCACACAAACTCAGCTTAGAGGGAACACTGCTCTGAGGTGCTCATTTCACCCTTTTGAGGGTTGAGTCCAGCTCAAATCCAGCCCTTGGATCCATTTCGGAGCTCTCCAGGCTGCTCCTTGGTACTGTAAACCCAGATGGCCCAACTGCATGACGGGCTGAAGAAACATGCTCTGCCACATGCAACTACTTGAGGAACCATAGCGGCTTAGGTCTGGATGGTAGCAGTGCAGGCCCAGGAAGCAACTGACGTATTTTGCTCGCATCTGCTCATAAAAGATTTCTTCAGAACCCTGGGAACAGCAGCGGCAGATAAGTGGGGGAGTGTGGCATGAACAACGAGGGGCGCATTTCCATCTTTTAGTGCCCTGGATGAATAAGGGCAGCTGAATGCTGGCTTACAACAGTTCCACAGAAAAGCTGGGGTTTGTTTCGACCAAAGTGCCAACACGCAACCCACATCCTCACTGGCGTGAACTCAGCCTCCCCCACGGGGTCATGGTGACAGAGTCCGACTAGGACTCGGGAGAGCTGGGTCTGAAAATCCCACCCCCCACCCCACGCGCGCCAGGCTCCCTGAGTGACCTTGGGCCGGGACTCTTCCATCCTAACATGCCTCGCAGGGTCGTTGCTGCCAGAATAAAATGGAAGCGAGGAGAACAATGTTGTGAACTGTTTTGGGTCTCCATTGGGGAGAAAGGCGGAGTATAAACAGCTAAACAAATAAGATCTTGTGCATTGGCCTTTTCCAGAGCTCGCTTTGAGGCACTCCCTTCTGCTGTACTGGAAGGTAAATTCACTCGAGTCCCAGTGCATGAACGTAGATGCCCATGCATGGCTACTATGGTGGAATCAGTTACTCATGTCCTCCTGTTCTGCAGATTCTATCAGGAGGAACGAGGCCATCTCATACTACCCCTTCTGTCTAGATTTAGCCCTCTGCAGTCCTATCTTGACTTTAGGCCAGGAGTCCTTCGTAAATTCCTCCTAGAAGACATTCAGAGCTCAGTGACATAAGCTGTGGCAAAATTTTGTTGCTTAGCTATTAGGAAACGTAAACTTATTTTAGCTGAAAAAATTGTATGATTCTCTTATTAATAATAAGATTTTGTGAAAAACATGCAGATCCTGGCGATAGCAAGTCTTTCTGGAAGTGGAAAATTCTCCTGTGGAAAGGGAAAGAAAGCACCCAGTGGGAGCAGCAGTGTGGCTGACCAAAGGAATTAGAGTCACAGAGCCTGCCTTCCTCCTTCTCTCCCTCCCCCCTTCCTTCCTTCCTCCCTCCCTCTCTCCCGCCCCTTTCCTTCCTTCCTTCCTCCCTCTCGCCTCCTTCCTTCCTTCCTTCCTTCCTTCCTTCCTTCCTTCCTTCCTTCCTTCCT